AAATAACTGGCAACCAAGATTGCAACCAGAAAATACGAAGAAAAGGGACGAAGAAATAAGAATATTGTAAGATAAGCAGAGAAACAATTCATGACAACCAAGCCAAAACTGCACAAAGGACTCTAGAAACACTATACATGTACATAGAAGAAAAACAGTGCACTTCATGAGAGCACAGGAAAGAACACATTTCATGGGGGCTGGAGATCTGGCTCAGCAGTTAAGAACACTGGCTGTTCTTGCAGAGGACCCAGGTTCAGTTCCCAGCACCCACATGACAGTTAACAACAGTCTATGTCTCCAGTTCCAGGGGAGCTGACACCCTCTTCTGAACTCTGCAGGCTTTGCACAACATGGATGCACTTTCACACATGCAGACAATACACTCATACACATAAAATAAAAATATTAAAAAAATTTTTTAAAGAAAAAATAAATTTCATGAAAGGAATAAAAAAAGGAGAGTGAGGAAATAATCCATCATGTCTGGCATAGTAAATCAACAAACCCCTAATATTCACTGGGAAGAAAGAAAAAAATCTAACCATGATCTAATCAAGAAGAACAAACTACTAGACCATAGGAATTTGGAAAACCCTCTCAGTAATAACCTCATATGCAAATAAACCTTACCCTTAATCTAGCATTTAAAAATGCGTAGACCAGTTACTGGGTTTTAAAAAAAATCCAATTATCTATTGTTCACAAGAAACACACTTGACAAACCAAGACACCCACAATCAGAATCAAAGGACAGAAATCAAACTCTCAAGCAAGTGGAAGCTAAAAGCAAGCAGATGTATCTTTTCTGATAGCTTACAAAGTCAGCTTTAAACCAAAAGTAGTAAAAAGATACAAAGCCACTACAGAGAAGTAAGTGGAGCAGACCATGAAGATAAAACAATTATAAATATATATGCACTGATTTTTTGGCTGCCAATTTCATAAAACAGGCACTAAAAGGCATGAAAAATCAAGACAGGTCTTGATAAAATTAGTGTAGGTGACTTTAGTGCCCCACTCTTATCCCTAGATAGATCTTTCAAACTGAGAATCAGCAAAGACACTTCAGAGGTAACCTGCACGATGGATCAACTAGACTTAAGAGGTATCAACAGGACATCCCATCCAATAGATAGAGAAGATGCAGTCTTCTGAACAGCCAAGGGTCCTTCTTTAAAACAGATGACATTATAGTGGACAAAGTAAGTCTTAACAAATACAGAGGAAAAAAATATTTTCTTCTAATTTAACATATTTAAATAAAACTAGAAAGCAAAAGTAAAAGAAACCATAGACAATACACAGTTACTTGGAGACATAGCAATATACTCTTTACTGACTATTGGATGATTGAAGAAATCAGGAGTAAATTAAAAATTTCCTAGAATCAAATGAAAGTGAAAACACAACTTGCTGGAACTTTAGGAATACTGTAGAAGTTTCTAAGAGGAAAGGTTACATTTATCAATTATTATGTTGAAAAATCACAATAATTTAAAATAAATAATCCAATTATGCATGTCAAGGTCATAGAAAAAAGACAAGAAAGTCAAACCCCAAAACAATAAGTTATAAAGATTAGAGCAGAAATTAATGAAACAGAGACTAAAAAGATACATAGAGTCATCAAACAAATGATTGGTTCTTTTCTGTTTAAAACTTCCATTTTATTTAAATGGGATACTGAAAAATGTTTTAGGCTTAAAATCATTGTTATATTTATGTTACTGAGAAAATTTTTACTTATAAATTTAAAAGGAAATATATTTTTCTGCTTTTTTAAAAAAATTTATTTAATAACCACATGATTAGAAGAAGCTTTTCATTACAGCTTTAACATATTCAGTAACACATTCCAGAGTAAGGATACATCTCTTTCAAAAGTGGCTGTAAATTTTTAGGTTCACAGTTGAATTAATACAGCTATACAATATTTTCATAAGATTGTTCTGGTGAATTTTAAAGATTTAAAAAATGAGTGTTTCTAAAAATATTTAATTTATATTTTATTGAGTTTTGTGCATTTTATATGATATATCTTAATCAAATTTAGACTTCATCCACATCCATACCCCATGTACTCTGTCACATATGGTAAGGCCTGTACAATCAAGCTTTTGTACAAAGATGTCCCTCAGTATAAGTTCATCCACTGCAGTCTATTCAGCCTATCTAGAGTCACTCCCTTAAAGAAGATCCCTTACAGCACATTAATTAGTTGCCAATAATTTGTCAGCTAAGGTTAGGGTCTGCCGCCCATTTCTCCAGCTCTATGTTGGTTTTTTGTCTGAGTCTGTATGGGTCTTGTGGATGCTGTTATCATTGTTGCAAGTTTATGTGAGAAAGTTCCCAGAAACCTGGAAGAGTCTGCTTCCTTAAGTTCATGCATCAATCCTGGCTCTTACAAACTTTCAGCCTATCTTCCACAATAGCCCCTGAGCCTGGGTGGATGAGGTTTCATAGAGGAGTCCTATCCAGGTACACGCAATCTTCACTCATTCTCAACACTGTGGCCAGTTGTGTCCTTCTGTGTGCATGGCACTCTGCTGCATGAGGATGCTTCGCTGGTGAGAATTGAGGGATGTATCAGTATTCTCTCTCTCCCCTGTTCCACTATGTTCTATGAGCCTTAGGTGCAGAGATTCCACTATAGATGTGTCTCTCAGGGCTCAACATCTCTCAGACACATATTTGCTGCATGTCACCAGTTATGAAACTCTGTCATAACTTTCATTTGTTGCAGAAGAAGCTTCTTTGATGAGTGGTGAATGTATATCTGTCTGTAAATGTAAGAATCCATATTTAGCATATATTAAGAAATTTTATTTGTCTAGAGGTATGACAGAGATAGGGTTTCTCTAGGATCAATGACCTCTCCAGACATATGTATTTCACTACATCACAGTGCCACCATTGAGTTCCCTCCCATTGAGAAGGCTTTCAGTCCAATTAGATGCTGTCAATTACCCCCAAGACAAAAGCACCACTACTGCACCTCTACAGATTGTGCTGATCGCTGATGTGGTTATTGGGGTTTGGAGCAGGGTTAGACCATTGATTGATGTTTCCCCTTATCAGCTTGCATAGTGTACTCTATAACTGAGAGCTAGTCTTCAGGGAGAATTCCAGGTCACTTTCATTTTCACTGTTTCAAATCCTGTGTCTAAAGTATGTCCTGTGTTCACCAGCAGGGTCTTACTTTCAAGTTCTGGGAGGTAGCCAAGGGCTTTAGTAATAACCTGTGTTATTTTGGGAGTCTCTTGAACTATCTTGATGAACAACTCAAAGGGAGGTTTCTCCTGTGTGTCTCTGTGTTTCCTGTTCTACAGCCTTCAGGTATACATATACACTCATGTTCAGATATTGCATGTGTATTTTTCAGTAGTTTTTTGAGCTAATACATTTCCCTCTGGTTTTTCACATCACCTAAGCTTTATTTATCTATTTATCTCTCCTCTCTCTTGGTCTAAATGCCCTCCTTCCTCCTCTGTTAAAGTACCCCCATGTCCCCTTGATAATGCCTGTCTCCTATTATCCTCCTCTCTTGAGCTTCTTCTTCCCCTATACTCCCATCATTTCTTGTATGTCCATTCCTCCTCCCTTTCCAGTTGAGTACCCCCATTTCCCCCATTTCCCCTTGATAACACCTGATTCCTACTATCCCCCTCTCTTATTTCTTTCTTTCCCTTTACCTTCACGGGTCCTTTCCATTTTCTTGGCTCCTATGGGTACATCGGGATATAAACTCATATTTACGATGTGGTGCTAAAAATCCACAAATGAGAAAGAACAGATGTTGCTTGTTTTTCTTAGTCTGTGTTGCTTCACTTAGTATAATAAGTGAATATGGGGTGAAGGAATCTGATATGATCAAATACGATGTTCTCAAAGAATCAATAAAAATATTTTTAAATATTTTCTCTCACTATTGATGTTGAGTTCAGAGCATTTAACTCAAAGCAAGAGTAATCCGGAATAAATGTAGATCATTTTCATGCTATTAAAACTTTTGTTCCCAGAAATGATCCAAAACAATTTTTCTATTTTAAAAAGTCATTAGTGTTTTAATTAAGCATTTCAGAAACATACTTAATGGGAAATATTGTTGTCTAATACAAGTGTCATACACAGTAAAAAATGTTATATAGAACTCTGGTTAAAGATGTATATATATTTTTGTATGCATCCTTGTGTGAAGTCTGTATCTGATCTCTGAAATTCAGAGACTGACACACACAGATGTGTGTCTCTTCCTGAGTACTGGCACTCACCATTGGAGCTCTTCTAACTTCAAGATCCAAGACGTTTTATGTTATGGTTTTCATGTTTCAAGAAAATTATATCAAATAAAGCTATTTTGATGAAATTCTGTTATTATGAATTCTCTCCCATTATCTAAAAACAATATTTGAGAACACTATTAAAAATATTGCTTTATGTGATGTATAAAAATCAGTTATTGGGTCAGAGAAAATGGCTCAGCAGGTAAAGGTACCTGCCACTAGCCTGATGACTGGAGTTCCATCCACAGATCCCACAGGGTAGAAAGAGAATCATTTTCTATAAATTGTCCACTGAATTCCAGCATACAGCTGCTTTGACTTAGATGTACACACACACACACACACACACACACACACAAACACACACAAACACATGCAGAGAGAAAGAGACTTGAAAATTTAGAAAAAGAATCAACTATTTTAAATATGAGGAGTTAAAAACATAACTGCTACCATATATGCAAGTTAACCTTCAAAGCATTTCATACCAACTGAATTGAGCACTGTGGGATGCTTACATGCTTGATTTTACTATTGAATTGCATATTATTTATGTGAGACACCAGAAATAACTGTGCTAGTTATGTCCAAAGAATGAGGACAAAACTTTCATATGTAAAGGGGTATTCAAGGAAATAGACAGGAAATAACTGGAGGTGAAACTTTGTTTGACAATAGAAGTCCAAAGGAATTTTCAAATGGCTTAAGAACATTTTACAATTCATTAGCTAAGCACAATGATGACTTTGCTTTCCTGGCAACCTTCTTGAATGAATTTTTTACTTCTTTGTTTCTCAGACTGTAGACCAGAGGGTTCAGCATGGGGATGACCATGGTGTAGAATACAGATGCGATTTTATCAGTGTCCGTAGAGTGACTGGAGCTCGGCTGTAGGTACATAAAGATGATTGTCCCAAAGAAGATAGATACAGTGGTGAGGTGGGATGCACAGGTGGAGAAGGCCTTCCTCCTTGCTTCAGCTGAGCGCATCCTCAGGATAGCAATGAAAATAAACAGGTAAGAGTTCAAGATGATGAACAGAGTAACAACAACATCAAACAGAGCTAATGTAAAGACTATGATCTCGTTTATGTTTATATCTGAACAAGAGAGAGCCAAAAGTGGGGGAATGTCACAGAAAAAGTGATTAATCACATTGGAATGACAGAAGGAGAGGTGAAAAGCGAAGGCAATGTGGATGGAGGACTGCAGGAGTCCACACATATAAGAGGAGGTGACAATTAGGATACACGTGGTGCTTGTCATGGTGGTGGTGTAATGCAGGGGCTTACACACTGCTGCATGTCGGTCAAAGGCCATTGAGGCCAGAATGAAACTTTCAATAGTAGCAAAGGCTGCAAAGAAGAACATCTGGGCAGCACAGGCTTTGTAGGATATGATCTTATTTCCTGTGAGGAACCCTTCCATTACTTTAGGATTGACAGCTGAGGCATAGACACAGTCCACCAGAGAGAGATTACTGAGGAAAAAGTACATGGGATTGTGGAGTCGTGAGTCCAGCAGAATCAACAAGATCATCCCAAGGTTCCCAACCAGTGTGATCAAATAAACAAGAGTAAAGACTATAAATAAAGGAACTTGCAGCTCAATGGCATCTGTTAGTCCCACAAGGACAAATTCAGTTGCCTCTGAAATATTCTCCATCAGAGTCATTTGGAAATGAACACAACATGGACCTAGGACAAGAAGAAACAGAGAGCATTATACTGGTTGAATCTCACCATGTAATATGAAGTATAAACAACTCCTTGTGCCCGTGCCTCATCTTTCTTTCCTGTGCATAGGCTATATTGAAGATGCTGCACTGAGTGTCAAGGTAGGAACAAGCAGTTTTATTTACCATGTAATATGAAGTATAAACAACTCCTTGTGCCCGTGCCTCATCTTTCTGTCCTGTGCATAGGCTATACTGAAGATGTTGCACTGAGTGTCAAGGTAGGAACAAGCAGTTTTGTTAATATGGAAGTGGTAGAGATGGACCCTGGGAGCTCTTTGCTCAGAGTGGCTGCCATAGGTGGTTCACAGTATAGATGTGAGGTTCAATTCCATGTGCCTGGTATAGGTATTTTATACTACACTAAACCACAATATTTATTATTACTATTAGCAATATCTGCTAGTATTCTTGTACAATGTATACACTGAAATCCTAATCAGCGGAAAGCTCTCTGGGGACCACGGGATCATGTTTTTAGGTTCCTCTGACAACCTGGCAATGTATTTTCCATTTCCAGTATATTCCTCACCACCTGGGTCGTATCCAAAGATCTGGGTCTCTACTCTAGGGATCCTATTTCTCTAATTTATAAGAGCCCTTAGTTAGATCCTTGCTTTTAACTATTAATGCCTACATGTTCTCTGCATAAAATTCATAGTGAAATCTTGGCATATTTCAGCATGCCATAAAATAAAGGGGTATTTTTTTCAAAAAGTAGAAGCAAAGACTTAGTTGCTCCCTCTTCATGTCACGATCTTCTTTGTCATATAGACTGAAATTTCCATTCCCACCCTCATAATGTCTTCACTTCATTTGTGTTTGGGGAGAGAGGGAAGAGAAAGGGAAGAGTTGCTCTCTTCCATTCCTGTAGGCTTTCAGCCTTCAACAAAGCCATATTTCAAAGCTCAGCTGATTGTACTCACCTCCACGGTGACTCAGGTGACAGACAATTCTGCTGCGTTGGTTACAGTAGAGAAGGCACCTCCACCCACTGAATGTTGGGTCATACTAATTTATGAGCACTAAACTTCCTCCACACTTTAGCCACGATATGTGAAAGGCTACCCAATCTGAACATAATTTGTTCCTAATCACACATCTTCCTATGGGTTTCCTTTGAGTAGAACTTTCACCCTGGCCCTTTCTAAGAAGTATCTCATCACTCTCAGTGTGGAAATATGAGAGCTACAGAGCAGCATGACAGAGTGTGAAGAGCAGAGAGCCAAGAAGGTGTTCAACCTTTCTGGGTATTAGATCCTTATTTTTTATTTATAAATTTTTAAAGGATGGTTGGAGATTTTATCCATTCTTAGACTGCTAACTGGCTATGGATTCATATTAAAAAAATACTTACTATTGCCCTAGGAACAGACCTTGGGGGACGTTGTGCTACAGAAGACTGCTTATGGGAAACCTTTATGTCTAGAACATGGGCCCAAAGATTCTCCTTTCCCATCTATGGAGCTCCGCTGTGGAACAGGACCTGGGCTTGTGTTTTTGCCAATGTCTACTCAGAAATACAAGCCTCTACAGGTCTCAGGGGAGCAGCACATACATGTGGATGTCTTTGGAGACTTGTGATTCCACACTGGCCCTTCAGCCTTAAGCTGATGCAAACAGCAGAGGAAAGTGTTTGCATTTGGATGGAGAGTGCTTATGAGGGCACACGGGAACAGATTCTGGAAGGAAAGTGCTCCAGTTATCACATAGTCTAGGCCACAGCCAAGTTACACAAGATTTTTTAAATCTCACTGTAATCTCTGTGTGCACAGCTTAGCTTTCTGTATCCAGCTTTTTCTCAAAGACCTTGGTATAACCCCAGGGCAATTTTCATCTTTCATTTATTTCTTGTAAATAAAGTACCCATTTTTCTCGATATTAAAGACCCAGTTATGGTTCATGTTCATTTTTCTCTCTCATTTATATTTTTAAAAATTTATCTACACATAAAATTGCATATATGTATGGGACATAATGTAATGATTTAATTCATGCATACACTGCTATTTAGGGAAATTTGTGTATCTCTCATCTTTTTTTATTGAACTTTTAAAATTTCATACATTCCCCACTCACATCCAGATCCCCCTCCCCCATCTACACCTCCTCCCACGGAATCCTATATACTCTGCCATACATGCTGAGTCCTATTCATTCAGGTGTTTGTACCCAAATATCCTTCAGTGTAAATGCGTCCACTGGAGTCTAGTCAGCCCATCCAGAGGATCTTAATCACTTCTCTTTTGGTAAGTTGTGAGAACCTTCACAATCCCACCTCAGTTATTTAAGTAATAGGATTCATTATTTCAGCCAAAAGCATTCTGCTACATAGTCACAGACAGGAAAAATTTCTTTCTCTTTTGTAAAATTAGGGGGTAGGTCTGTTACTTTTCTCTGACCTCAGAGATGATAGTGGGACTATCTATCTCTTTTTTAATGTTTTATTTATTACTTTATGAGTATATTGCCTGCATTTGTGTAAGTGTACCTGTGTTGTGCAGTGCTCTTGGAGGTCAGAAGAAGGTGTTGGATTCCCCTGGAACTGGAGTTACAGGCAATTGTTAGGCACCATGTGAGTGCTGAGACTCAAACCTGGATTCCCTGCAAGAGCAGCCCATGCTCTTAACCACTGAGCCATCTCTTCAGCCCCAGGGACTATCTATCTTTTATCAATTCAGTAACATGTAGTTGTTCTATTAACCTATGTGGTAAGTTGACCCAGTATCAAATGCTACAATTACCACCTGCTGTGGTCTAATCTACTTTAAGTTATTTGTATTTCCACAATTCAGTATAAGACATTCAATGATAATGCATGTCATACATAAGGGAATCATAAGGGTGAAATGAGAAGACACATGAACAGAGACAATTGGTGTATATCAAGAGACTGTGTTTAAATATTACTATTTTGTCACCCATGAAATTGATATAGCATGTAGACAAAAACAGGATGTTCAGATATGACATTTGTTCCTGTATTTCTCTAAATCATTGAAATTATTTGAAGTCTGATCAACTTCTATGAAACAGACTGGAGAAGAAACAGGCATGCTATTTCTGAATAAACGTATAGTGAAGTCTCTGCATATACAAGTCATTTGTATCTTCCCTTGCCAGAGTGGCTGATCAGGTGAAAGTCTTCCATGGCCTGGGCACTTGAGTGAACAGGTGGAAAAATAAAAAATAAACCAATTAATAAATAGCCAAAGAATCATCATATAAAGAGAAAATAGTATCAACTTTCCACACAAATTTATTAGAACTAATACATTAACTAAAGATTCATAATAAAATTAAGAACACATGAAACTTTTATTACTCTTAATTGACAATGTACAATTCTAACAAGAAATTAAGAAGCCAATCTCACTTATAGAAACATGAAATAACTATAAAACCCATTTTGAATAAATTTAACTCAGAAAATGAGAAACTTTCAAATTAAAAATTAGAAAACATTGCTGAAATTAAAGAAAAATATCTAAATGGAACTGCATCTGAATTCATGTCTGGAAGTCTTAATATTTCTAAAATGTCCTTGCTAACAAATGATGTACAGATTCAATTAAGAGTA